AGGTGTCGAAGTGAACAGGAAGGCGAGAGATTCCGGAATGAGTTGGAGGGCTTCCCACTCACAACCACAATGCACGCACACTTCTATGGTCACTTGTTCATGAGATGTGCACGTGTAGACTACGTAGCTTCACAAGTAGACTACGTTTGATTGCGTGTCGCGGAATGACCATTGGACCCGTAGTAGAGGTGAAGCCCAGCTTTTCTCAAACAGAATGCCATCGCGTCTTGCTTCATGCTCAAACAGAAACATGTCAAGCCGAACGAAGTGCAAAAAACCTGTGGTTGCGTGCAGTGGCATGCAGTATATAGCCGCCACACATATAGAAAGGTATGGGCAACATTGAAAACTAGGTGGAAAGCTTCACAAGCTAAAAACATTAAACTAACTCGCAACGGGTTGCCTCCACAAGCAATTGCTGTTGTGACCTCCGGCGTTCTTGGTGCCCCACTTCATCTCAAAAGCAGGCTGGACGGTCAAGCAAGTCCACAAGCAGTGCCACACGGGCAGCAACAAGACTTTCTGCAAAACGGTTGCCCCGACCACTCAGCTTAGAAGCAGCAGCAACCTGAAGCACAGGCGATAACGTGCACTGATTTGAAAAGTTGATAAACTTGCATCAAGTATTTTGATATATTTTGCTTGGTGGGGGAGCAAAATTTTTAAAGAACCGCGTCGCGGTTTCCACGGGTCATCACCAGGTCGTCACAAACAGAAGAGAACGCCTCCAAGTTACGAGCAATGTCCTCCAACCTACTATCCAATTTCATCCAATGTCCAAGAGTCAGCCAAAGTGAGGGGAAGACACAACGCCTTCAAATAGCCCCAGATAGGCCCAAAAAAGAGAAAGTGGGAAGGCAAATGGCTTCTGCATGGCTGCCAGTTGATGGGTCAATCGGTGGATGCTGCGGCCAAGGCACACAAGTGACGCAAGCACTTGTCGTCACACTTGAGGCCTTTATCGACGCAAAAGCTGATGCCTGGTGCGAACATGTCAATACCACGGTCATTAACGCCTACTCATATATATATATATATACAAGTGTGTATATATATATATATATTTGTAAACCTGCAGAAACATGCAAAGGAAGGAAACAAACAGTCCCGTTCTGCAAAACATACCATGCAATCCGTCCTGCACCAAACTGTCATGAACTCTAGGATATTGAGCAGTGTTCATGCTAAGATCAGGTTTCGAGCAAAACTCCTGCAGAGCAAAGCTGGATCCTCATCCTCATGTATTTGTTTTACTCACCAACCCGCGAGAATGAATTAAACCCTGCAAAAGCATGCAAAAGCAACAGTATGGAAATAGCGGGTACAAGGACATCTGTTGCTTTCCCAGGCCACCAGTCTTGAACGAGAGCAAATGCTGAATGCTCAAGAAGCGACTTCGGACTGGGCAAAAAAATTGTCTCTAAACACTTGATTAGCTTCGATAATATAAAATAATGTTTAACATAATGATCTAGAGCTTGGAGTCTTAAGCCTTTAAAGCCTTTGAATCTCAGATATTCTCAGATCATGTTTGAAGCCAAGCAACCATCGCAACACGCCCACACACAGCTGCACGCACAAAGGTCTCCACAACAATTCGAGAGAGCCACCGAAAACTCAGTGAAAGCTGCAATGAAGCGAGTACTGGCACCGACTAGATTAATGTCTTGGGGCCCCTACAGCTGGATTCTCTGCAATGGATTCTCTGGATATGACAGGAGTATGACACTCGACTCTTATTAATACTCCCTTACTTATATACTCAAGCTCGAACTGCCTGCAAAGGTACTTGGGGTTTGGTCCAACAACCTTACACCTGTGCCCCCTAACTACAAAGAATTCTCAAGTTAGACATTGTGCTCTGTGGAGGGCCTGCAGGCCTGTGACCTCTAGCCTTAAGTCGACCTGATCTGATGATCCCAGCCATGCGGCTCCAACAGGCAGGTCTGATACCCAGTCGCTCGTCTGCTGTATGACCTAAATTTGGGGTATATTTGGGTGCTTTTGGTAGTGAGTGCACGTGAATGTGGGTCATATCATGTACCTACATGAAGAGTTTGGTTATGCTATCTCTCTTGTTATGGTGAATGGCTGGCCAGTGGCCAATGTGGCCTGGAAAGCCAAGCCCTCTGGGCCCTTGCTGCCTTACAGTTGCCTGAGAGAAGCCCCCGCAGTCGCTTGAGGGAATCTATGGACCGGTTGACCGTTTTGAAATCGAGTGGATCGCACCACCTGTTTGGTATGAGGACCAGGGTCATCCCTTCCCATGCACTCCCATGCAGGCAGCTGTAAACACTGTAGACCATTGATCAGTCCTCTTGCCGCCCTCTTGTCCACGTCTCCAGTGAGGTCTAGCCACATTGAAGTCATTCATGCCCCCAAGGGGTCGATGGCTGTTGGTCTTGCCAGTGGGACCAGTACTGAGGAAGTTCTGAGTTTCGCCCTTGCTCGCCGCGGAAGGCTGGTTTCCCATGGCTTGAATCAAGCTGGTGCCGAGAAAGAAGGACTCCACAAATGATACCCCTCAACTTCTTGGTCAAGTGCCTGAAGTACTTAGCTTGAATGAACAATCCCGTCAGATGTTGAACATCTTGTCCTTGCATCGAAAACGGCCACGGCCATAAGTCTCTCAGATCATGGAAAGCCGAGGGTGGGCGAACGATGCCCGAACTCAGCTTGGTGCGGTGCGGAGAACAGCGACGTTGGCCGTTCTGGATCGGTACCCACCAGGTCCGGTTCCAGGAGGAGCGGTCCATGTGGCACCACGGTCGGTCGCCACCCCACAACTTGGGCTGATCAAGCCCCCGTCACATACGCCGTACGCAGCGTGGGTCTGCACATGGAAACGGCTCAAACATGTTCCGACATCTGCCAAACGACCTTCAAGGCGCCGACTCCAGCTGCAGTTGTCGCTCCTCCCTTTCAACAGTTTTGTCGATCGATCCTATCCAACCAATCACCTCCCCCAATACTCCCAAAAAACAACTAACATAAAAAAAACAAATGCGATATGTTCCAATTCCAATACTTAACGTAACAAGGCATCTGTTCAAAAGAACAATTATCAAATAACAACTGGCCAACATCCATGGTTTTACAAAGCATGGTTCCTAAGGCCCCTCCTGCCTACCTGGCCATGCGCAGCCATGCGCCGCACCCCCCGCCACCAGGCCATCTCGCCGTCCTGAAGGACTCCCACTGGTCCAAGAATCGGCTGAGCCTTGGTGGGACAGCTCAGCTCAAGGGGCAAATGACAACAGAAAATCGCCTGCAAAGGACTCCTGGAGCATCTGGGACTCCACATGGGAACCCACCAACAACCCAGGATGACCTCGTTCACTGGGATGCTGAGTGGTGACTCACCCACCTGAAATGAGGCCACCCAAACTCTCAAAAAGCTCTGTTCTTTTACCTCAAATATTAGACTACTAGACTAGACTACTAGACCGCCTCTTCTAGCCCTCAATGAGGTCATTTCACATCCTCTAGATCACAGTCTCCAAATGCCCACAGTCTGCCGGTGCATTCACATGGGTCCTTTTCTGAACAGTGGGACCAGTGGGACCATCCAGCCCGTGCCCACTGGAAAGCGCAATCCATGGTACACATGATGTTCACTGGGATAGGTCGGGTGGCCAGGCTTTCTCATCCAAACATTCGCCGGGTCACGAGGCCGCCCCGCTGTGCAATGCCTCCCGCGCAGAGCCGCGCGTGGTAACGGCGCGCGCTCGGGTGCGTAAGCGCCAACAGTGGAGCAGGGCCACCGGCCATCCAGCAAGGCCTTAGAGTTCGGCCTCCCACAGGCCGAACCACAAGCGAACACATGCAGAATCATATGGACGACTTTAGGATTGGTCAGTGACCTCATTCTTGGATCTCAAAAAGGTCACTGGGAAGGTCCTGGCATGTGGCTTTTGTTCAGTGTTGTTCCTTTTTTGAGGATGGGATGATGTGGGATGCACAAGAATTTGAAGATTCTTGGATGGGTGGAGCAAAAGGAAAACCTTGATTTGTCCAATCTGTCTTTCGTTCCTGTTCATTGGCTGGCATCTCAGATGCAAGTACCACCGTCCAAGCAAGTTCTTTGAGAAGCTGCCAGGAGTTCTAAGGTGGTGTTTCTTTTTCGACCCCAAAAATAAATGAGTGGAGAATGATCCCAAGGCACTCGGACTTCCTCCGTTCCCAGCTGCCCAAGTTCGTCACTCTACAGGGAACGTCCGGAGATCATAGCATCCATAAGCTGGAGTCAAGAGTGACTATGTGCTTAAGGAACCCGGAGAAGACGCAACATATTCCCACAAGAAGATTCACCCATAGGAATCATAGGAAAACCACAAATCACTTTACGCAAAACCTGGCCTAGCCTGCTGATTGCATCTTCCCTTGCACATTGGATCCTGATCCCACCTGATTGGCTGATACCGAGCTGCAAGTGCCTTGCAGGATAGCTCTACGAGTATGCTGCCTCAGCGCAAGAAGTCATTCTTGGACACAAACGTCCGTCTTTGGCTCCTGCATCTGTTACTGGGGTGTTTATGCTTTATATGTGGGACACATATGACCACAAATTCGTTGTATGTTTTATGATTTTGTTGTATTTTTGAGAAAGGCATAGACAGGCTAATGCTCTAGCAAAGAGCAGTGTGGAGCTAAGGGTTGCACTGATGCTTACACAATGCAAACAAGCGAGGGTGTATCAAAAGCACAAGCTCTGCGGCAGCACTCACCAAACCCTCAAAACCACATATGTGTGCTTTGTTTGGGTTGCTTTCGACCCGGTGGAGCCAGTTTGGCCCCAGTTTTTTCCAGACTTTCCCACGGCCAAGGCTTCCGTTTGGGCCGTGATGGGCCGTGTCTCGTGTCTCTCGGATTCAGGGCATCGGATCCGACGAGTCCGGAACGGAGCTTGCGAGAAAGAAACGATCAGGGACAACATGGGAGTCTATATAGTGACAGGTCCAGTATGGGGACAACATGGGGATATGTTCGCATGTCATCATGTCACATATCAGGTAGAAAGCAAACATCCCAAATGTCACGCGTTTTCACATGTCGAGCTCAGTGACGATACTATCTCAAAAGCCGACTTGGACGAGTCTTCAGCCATGGGATGTGCAGGCGTGGTTCCAACATGGACAGAACCACTTCATGATCTTCATGGCCTCCGGGGAAGGGACGTTTCGGCTCACTTTTTCGATGCTCGTTGAAACAACGTGGCTCCGTTGAAACGGACCACATGTAGAAACCCCGCGGCCAGCTGGCCCGTTCGCCTTCATGATGTCAACGTCAACAAGTCTTCAAGATTCTTCCGGCTCTTTTTCTCCTCCTCTCCATGGCCATCTCAGGTTTCTGACTCACCCACCGCCCAGCGTGTGTGTGAAGCGATGTGTTTCAGGCCTCCTCGGGCATCTGTTCTCCTCGCAGCGTTTCCTTGGGCGTCTGTCGGCATCCCCTCACGTCTTCCCAGCAGCGTCTAACTGGGCTGAAGGATTCAGGTCGCAGAATGCATGCATTCATTCGCACCATCCTTCGCAGATCGGCTGCCCAAATGACTCCCACCAGCCATGTTCCCAGCAATCTCTTCCGCCGCTGGCGGTCTCTCGGCGGCTGTTCAGCATCACGCCGAGGCTTTGCTACCTGGACCAGCTGGTCAGTTGCCAAGAGGTACGTGCAAACTTGGACAAAGCACCTGTGAAGCCTTACAAATCCTTACATCAAACATCTGCTGGATTGCTAATGCTAAACGGCCTGTGAATACCTGTGATCACCACCCCCCCAACATGACTCAACATGCCAATCGTGTCACGTGATGCCCTACACATCAAAGCGGCTCGGAATAGCTCTCGACTTCACCCGTGAACGCGGTGCGCCTCCAGTGCGCGTGCTCATCTCGGTCCGTGCTATGTCGGTCGTCGGAGATACTTCCTCGCGGTCGGGCACGGTCGGAGGGCTCCAAAGGCCGGGACATCAGCTGGAGAAGTCGGCCCCACGAGAAGCCACAAACGGTTTTTTTCTGAATTTCAAGGGGAAACCTTTTCTGGGTTCCTTTTGGTTTCATGTTTCAAAGGGCAGTCTTGCATCTATTTGCGCCGATGCCCACCCCAAGTTCTTGACCATCTCACGCTTGTCGGTCTCTGTTTGGACGATGGCAAACGCCAACGTAGGCGACCCAAACAGTGACTTACTCAATGAATGACCAACGGTCACCGGTGACGCCGATGCCGCCGATGCCGAACAGTCGGCACGCTCCGCCTCGGTCCTCCGGCGCGCTCCAGGTCTTTCGGGCTCCGACCGCTTCAGCTGGGCGCCCTGCTCTTCCATCTCCTCGGAGAGGACGTCCGGCTCCAAGAGAAACAAGTGCCCAGTCGACTCCTTAGAAGTGAAGGGCTGAAGCAATGACAGTCAGTGGGGAAGCCAATCCTGCAACTAATAAGTTACAGGATATGCACGGTGATCCACCTTTCCTGCAAAAGATCAAGTCGACCTAAAGACTCCTTGGACCCGGGCCTGGGCAGGAGTTGTCAGCCTCCAGCAGTCTCTACCCTCAAAAAGAAGTGGTTGAGGGTCCGGATCTTGACACTCCGACTCAGTCATGGATGTTGGATGTGGGATGGCTCGTATGGCATGGATGGCATGGATGGAGGCATCAGTCATGATTTTCCGGTCAGACCGCATCCATAGAGATTCGGGTTTGCTCCACTGAAGAAAAAGATCACTCGGAGTGCTCATGAACATGCCCAAGCAAAGAACCCTTCTGTACTCAACATCGCGTCTATGCAGCATGCAGCGCTCCAACTGCTACGTCCTCAAGATCAGTTATAAAGTTATAAACTCCATGGTGGGCTCTAGGTCAGCCCTTGCGGGTGCCAAACTCTTCCCTCTTTTGAGATCCGGCTCCAAACCCAAAGGTTCAAGGGTCCAGGGGGGTGTATGCTTTAAACAACATATAGTCTCACCTAGTTGCGCAAAAATACACATAATTATATGTAACCACATGTTGTCCAATTACTTGCACACGGTTCTCAATCAGCTCCAAGGAGTTGACTTTGTGTGTTGGGCTTTGTGGAAAGTTAATTTCTTGTACTGATCAGCTCGAACATCGACTCAGAAATGAATCCGAGTCTCGACATGCTGATCCAAATCTCCCAAACGCAGAAAACCTGCAAGTGACATCAAGTGATTTGATGAGCATGATGTGCACGGCAATCATGGGAGCTGAGCAAAACTCTGTAGACATTGCCTTTCCACTTGCGTAACTGCCTAAGGCAAAAACAATGGTCTTGACCAAGTCAACACCACCTGCGAGCTACGAGCCGCTACATTGCTACATGCGACGGTCGTCCGTCTCTAGAAAACACGATGCAAAGTGAAGGCGCGTTTCACCTGCTGGTCCAATTGCATCCCAGTTGCCACCAAATGCCACAAGTAACGAGGCTTGGAATCAGTGGTCTGTGATAACTGTACCCACTGGGACTATATATGACTAATTATAACTATATATAGGCCTTTTTTGAAGCATATCTGTTGCAGATGTGATTAAAAGAAACAACCATCCCTGATACAGGACTCTAAAGCGGTCCGTGCAACCATCCCTGATACAGGACTCTAAAACGGTCTGTGCAGGCCCAATCTTCCAAAATTAAACGTCCGATCACTCTCTTTCATGGTTTGCACAAGTATGCAATCTGCTTCCCGCATTCCGAGCTCATCTGTCACCATCATGTCTTGTCAAGCCCCTAGTCAACAGGAAGTCAAACAACCTCAAGAAAAACAAGGCTTTTGTGATCTGAAAATGATTTGATGAACTATGTAACTACACCATAGTTCAGACCCCATCCACCCCTAGGCACCTCGTAGCGAGTGCACCACGAGTTTGCTTCGCATGCAAATGTTTCACGTTGACTCGTAGGGAGAATTATGTCCCTTCTAATGTTAGAGCCCACTCTTGCCAAGCCACTCTTGCCGCACAACTGGCAGCAATACATGCCTCACGGGGTAAGTGCTAAGGTCAATTCAATGGTGCCACTAAAAAGTCTAAGTCTATAGTGCGAATGTATTGCGAATGTGTGTTTATAAATATGTCTTTATATATATATATATTATATTAGTTGTTTTTTGTGACGTGCGTGTATTTACAGTATACATACTAGCAAGTGGTTCAGAACTCCTGGCAAACTCCCTGGTTCCCAATTTTTTGTTGAGTATGATGCCCTTTCCTCCTTGGTTTCCTTCGGAACAACCACCCAGAACGATCATAATATTCCAACCACTCCCTGTCTGGTACATATGCCGCCCCATTGACACCCGAAACCACGCCAGCTGATCGGCTAAATACGGCATACATGGATTGTCTGGCTTTGTCACGAAGCCCTGTCACAGGCGCTAGCAGCCGCAAGCAATGCAAGCAGGACTGCTGACACTACTGGAATGATCGAAGAGCCGTGCCAAACACCAGAAGCAATGCCACAAATCACTTGTGCTTTCCCAAGCGCTCTCAGTGCCTACCTCTTCTTCCAAGGGCACAGCCAGTCTAGGTTGGTTTTTTAGGGCATCCTTCACCGACCAGTTCAGGTCCCAAATGGCAGTGCTTGAAATCACTGAAATGTGACAAGAATTTGCCCATTTGGGCTCCAGATCGTTCCTCAAAAGGTATGACTGGACCCTCCTAATCCACCCAGTCCCACCGAACCGAACAAACTAAGCTACAACTGGAGCCCTGGGGTTGGTGCTCCATTGTCCCAGCGGAGCCCGGAGTGCGCTGTCCCCGGCGCCGTGACGTGCTGGTCCTGCGCTGGCGCCCCGTCTTTTCAAGGCACCCTTCTTGGCCGGCAAGACTTTTTCCTCTGGAGAATGCTCCAGTCGTCTGCGCCAAACGTCTCCTAACTGATCAAACGGCATGTTTATAGCATATAATATAGAAATTCAGTTGGTTTATGAGTGGCTGATGATTCTTGGCAAGTGTAAACTACCAGTTGGGAAGTCTTCGGCGTATCTTTTTTGCAGTGCTTCAAAAAAACTGGCAATTGAAAAGCAAAGGGTTGCTTTAAAACCACTCGTTTTCGATTACGAACAAATATTCACGTATACAGACATTCATGCACGCAAAATTTGAACTCTATGTCGTCCATGCTCTTCAAAACAAGGACTTACTGCCTGTGTTGGATTGTGTATTTTGGCCTGCTCATGTTTGGAATTGTGTTTTGATGTTGATGGGTTTCAAATTGTTTTCAAAGGTTCGTGGTGCGAGATATGCTGCCCGAGATGCCTTGCATTTCTGGATATGTTCCTCCTCTTGCTCTTTATCTTCTTATTCTTCTTCGTCGTCGTCTTCTTCTTCTTCTTGTCTTCTTCTTTCTTCTTCTTCTTCTTCTTCCAGTTCTTCAATTTGCTCTTGTTTGTTATGTTTCTTGTTCTGTATCTTTCTCTTCCCCACCTCTTTTTATTCCTCTGCCTCTTTCTTTTGCTCTGATGTTTTCTTTCTCTGGCTTATTATCTCTTTCTCTTCCTCTATTCCTCTTCAATTTTTATTCTTTATCTTCCTCTGCCTCTTTCTTTTGCTCTGGCTTGTTGTCTTTCTCTTGCTCTTTCTCTGCTTTTTTGTCTTCCTGCTCCTCTTCCTGTTCTCTTCCTCTGCCTTTTCCTCTTTCTCTTGCCTTTTCTCTTACCCTTGGAGCGAGCGAGAGGCAGAGAGAGAGAGAGAGAGAGAGATAGAAAGATCTAGAAAGTGAAAAACAGCCTGTACCTCTTTGAGTCGCACAGGCCGGATCCCGGCTGTCAGGCATATGCCTTAAATCATCTTAAATCCAGGCACCGGCACCGATCTCGCCCGGACGGCCCTTCGTTTGACCAAAGGTTATAGGATCGACACCCCCAGCGGCCGACCACTGAGGTAGCGTGCTTTACGGTGTTTCTTGGCTTTCCCTCTTTGGATATGTGACATGTGTTTGGATGTTGTTGGCCTTCAATTCGTTTTCAAAGGCACGTGGTGCGAGTTACGCTGCCCCAGTTGATTTGAATATCAACATGTTGTGTTCCTCTTCTTCCTGTTCCTCTTCATCTTGCTCTAGCCCTTTCTCTTCCCCTACTAGTATTCTCCTTCCTGTTCATTGTCCTGTTCCTCTGCGTCTTTCTCTTGCTCTGACTCTTTCTCTTCATCTTCTCCTTCAAGTGTCTTTCCTCTCTTACCCGCCCGGTGCCCGGCGGCTTACGCCGGCGTTAAGCCTTTCCATCCGTCGATGCCGTGCCCTGGCCGCCGACATTGGGGCTGTTTGAGGACAGTCTTTAGGTCGTCGCACTTGCCAAGGTACCAAACACCGTGAGTGTTTTGCAAAATTCAATTCCAAAAGAATGTGTTGCAATGATGCAAAACTCTGCGTAAATCCCGACTTCTTTGAAGGTGTGTGTGCAAAACACTGCAAACATCGTGCCCAACACCATCAGTATTTACATCTGCAGCGGCGGGCAAAACTGCGCAAACAGTGTGGATATGAAGCACTTTTTGCCCACCCACATGCCCCTCATCCTTCACTCTCCCCTTCACCCCCTGCGCCGGCGCTCCAATTGCCGACAGAAGTCTCTACACTACTACGCTATCACCTCTGCCTCATTTAACTTGGATTCATGCCCTCTGGCTGGTTACATTATCATTCATCCTAATTAGCTATTGATCCAGCTACGAAAAACCATCCTTCCCGCGGGCGTTTGGCGGTGTGCGAAGCTGGTCAATTAATTCATAGCATGCAAGGATTTCCTGTACAAAATGACTGGTCTGTGAAGGACTCTGAGGTTTTGAAGCTTGGGGAACTGAGAAAAACATCAACATGTCCTGGGCTGAGGCCAAGTGTCGCATCTCCTGTATGCTCATGGATCTTAAGAGACCCTTTAGCTCCAATCTGTTGGCATATCCCAAGTGCTCTTTGGCGGCCTGTCTCGTTCGATCAGGATTCGACGCCCTGGGCGGGTTTTCTGTGGGTAGTTCCCCGAACCCGAACAAGTGGATTCGATCATAGCCCTAACATCAACATCAATCACAACCCAACAAAAATGCACGGACTGGCCCAACACAAACAGGAGATGGTACTTGAATTCATAGAGGCTATCAAAAGGGTTTCGATGGACCACCCAAAACCGGGGGCCCCAGTGTTAGGATGCATTTACTCCAGAAACTCCGACAATTTGAAAGTCTTCCAATCCCAAAACAACACCCGCTTCCATGTGCGCTGGGCAGTGGGTTGTCCACAGGCGGGAACCAGCCCTGTTGGCATGTGGTTCCAAAAAAACAAAGCAAAACACCAGCAGGGGAACAAACGACAAACCCTCACTGCAAAATCTGCCTCACCCGACCAACTCTTGGAATGCGACTTCTTAACATGTGTGAAGCCTCTAAAGTCTGGAAAGAATGAACATTGCAGAATTGAAGCTAGACTGATCAAATCATTGGCGTTTTAAATAAACATCCCCCTACAAAAAATTGAAGACCATTCAACAATTCCAAGGTTCTCTGTGGTCTTCCAGGTGGTGAAGAGATCGAAAGCCTCAGAAGACAAGGAAGGCCAAGGTGGTTGCGCATGACGCGACCTGTGTGTGTCCATCCAAATGGTCGCCGCCTCTGGGATCAGCAGGTCTCAAAGGGAACATCACAACGCCACTTCCACTTTGATGGAAGGGCCCCCGTGAAGACCTGCCGTTTTCCTCTACAAGCATGGTGGTTTTTCATGTTCATGTTGGTGAGTCGGAGTGACACCATGGACCGCTGCCCGGTCCGTCGTTCCCTCCGGTCGCCCGCATGGAATTTTGGCTCCAAGCCACAGGTCATGCAATCTGGGCAGCAATATAATCCGCTGCCTGTGGTGATCAAAGGACAATCAATGGAATCGAAGTGTCTGCTCCTTTGAAGGGTGGTTTCTTCTTGATTTGGGGCTAGTTAAGGTGCAATTCTGGCAGGAAGTTCTGGAAACAAACATGATTGATTCCCTCCGTTCAGCTGACATGAGAAGCAGCAAAAGTGTCCAAAGCTGCCCGTCTGTAGTCTATCACCTATAGTCTATCCCTACCTACTGTCACCAACTTCAATCACAGCAGGTGACTTGAAAAGAGCTAATCCGCAAATAGTGGCCCGATGCGACCGGGTCACATCAGGGTCACATCAGGTTCCTGTTTACAAGGCGTTTACAGTCTTTTCTACCGATTGTGATTGCCGGAAAGTTTGAGTTTTGTATCATATCATTCCAAGTGGAAGCAGCAGGCTGCTTTTTGGAGGCTGGGTGCTGGTGTCGCAGGTGCTGGTGCCGCAGTGTGGAGCGGCTGCTGCGAGATGAAAATATGTTGATGGCCACTGGTGCGTTTTTGGGGCCCTGCTGGTGCCGCTGCTGGATGTCTTAGTCGTGTGTTTGCTCTGGAGCTTCGATGCCTGTTGCTGCCTCGACATCCATGTGCGAGTGTACGCAAAGGCGGCCGTGCTGGGGCCACTGCCGCTTCAGGTTGCTGCTGCCAGATGTCAATGGCAGTGTGAAGCGGTACCAGCACTCAGGCTCCAAAGCGCACACTACCACACACATCTGGCAGCAACACCCTGCAACGGAAGCACCTTTTCCGATACAAGTAAGACCCCAACAGCCCTCCCAATAGCTCCCGCTATCTGGGGAGAAAAGGTTGCCCATGTGAAAATCAATGAACATCATTACTGTAAACCAATGGAATATAGCTGGAATATGTACATGCTGCATGTCCTCAAACACTCTCAAACAGCATGGAATAGTGAAAACCGATGCGACTTCCCGAACAGCTTTCGACGCAAGGAATTGCAACATTTTGCGAAAACTGGTGCGACCAAAGTGTCTGAGAGCATCCATCTATACAACTAATCTATTTGTCAGTCTATCCATCTGCCATCTATCACAATCTATCTATCTATCTATCGATCCATCGATCCATCCGCCCATCCATCCGTCCGTCCGTCCATCCATTTATCTGTACCATCTATAACATCTATCTAGTTATTTATCTTACTACCTATATTTATATCTTTATCTAAAGCTATATCTCTATCATTTTCTATCTATCCATATCTATTTCTATATCTCTATCAGTCTATCTACCTGTACCTCTCTGTCTATCTATCTATATAATACATCTATATCTATATATAAACCTGTCTATACACGTGTATCTGTATCTATCTGTCGTTCTATCATGTACTGTTGTTTTGTATGGGGGCATCCAACGTCTTTGGCCTTGTGTTTAAATCAACTCCGGGGCTCGACGAAAGGAGGCGACACTCCCTGAACTCATGGAAGCGGAGTGCACCACCTGTTTAGTATTTGGACATATTCATCCAACAGCCATGTTCCACTTCCATGATTTTGTCGGGGCGTGTGCATTCATCAAGAAAATGGATGAAGATGGACTAAGCAAGCAGCTTCATGGCACTGTGGCACAGAGATACCTGCCTTCTTCGTTTCAATCAAAAGAGGCAAAAACTCATCAGCACTCACCTTTTTGGGCATCCAAATCAGCCAATAGCCTATCCCATATGTACCACATTTATCACTAGTTCGGGTCCTAGTTCTGGTCTCAAGAAAACTCTCTCGCCTTCCCAAAGCATCCAAATTCGTGGCCGCTGCCGCGATTGCAAACCGGATGTCTTCACCCAAACACTTCATGTCTGGAAAAAAAGAGCCATGAAGTCCCATGGAGTATGGAAGTCCCATGGAGTCTGCCATGGAGTGTCTGGGTCAGCTTGCCGCGTGCGTAGCGCGGCCGCCACGGCTCAGGACCCGGCCTTTGATCTTCATGACCCTGCGAAGATCGCCTCACGACCGAGCCGTGTGGAGCAGGGCGGCAGCGATCCGTTTGGCCATTGATGGGCTTGAGGGCAATGGATCGAAGGAGGCCTAGGTATTGAATCAAATTGGCTTGAGGGAAGACCTATATGGTTTTCACACCCCCAAACAAGAATAAATGGTTTTCTAACGTTCCGTATCTTCCAAAGTCTACGAGGCCAGCGCCATGTGGTGGTTGCGATGCTGGGCTCGCCACATTTGAGTCGACGTGGGCTGAGGATGCTTCGAGATGTGACGATGTGCAGGAAGAAAGCTCTTGATCCACTGTGGACTCCCCCGAAGTGTCACGGATGCTCAGGATTAAGGTGACTTCTGCTGTGATGATCTTTGATGACTGTCGCAACATCAGATCATCAAGTTCATCAGCATCTGGCAAGAGTAACTTGTCACTGTCGAACCCTGTCTTCCTTCAAGATCCTTCAAACATGTTCTTGTTGGATAAAAACGTTGTAGGTCCTGGGATCCAAGGACAACATCCTATTCCAACACACTCCATGCATGGAGTATATTCTGCCCCATTGACCCCCCGAACCGCACCGATGTAGAGTCATAGAGTGCAGTTTGGGTTATATAATGTTATATATATATATATCTGATCACGACGATAATGCTAATGCGTGTTGGTCGCAAGCGAGGTGCCGGCCAGTGGGTAAGGGTCTCTTGAATTCTTGTGCGTAGGCATGTGCAAGCAAGATTCCACGGCAATTCTGTGGGTCTGGAATCTGGAACTGTCCATGAAACTCCTATTTTCTCCCACAAAACAACCACGCATTTGCGCAATACAGGGCCTTCTGGGAGGACGCTCTCGAGCTGATCGCGATCCGGAAGCTCCAAGAAACCATCCTGGCCGCAACAAACGTCGCCCCTATAGCCACTCTGGACCCCGACATGGCCACAGCTGGTACCAAATTTCAATGTTTCATCAGTCGTCGAGACGGGAGTTCGAACTCTTCAAGTTCTTCAGTCGGAGGGTTTCTTGGAGCGGGGGGTGCCAGAAGTTCCATGGAGCTGGGTGCCGAACGCATGCCCCGGAGTTCGCCGATGCAACTCAAAACCACCCCGACCTGGAACTCCAGAACTTTGAGCGTTTTTCGTGGAATGCGGATCCGTGATGTTTTGGTGAATCACTGACTCTTGGGAATTCTGCAGGTGAACCCGCCGAGCGGCTGTCAAATGACCCCAAGTACCGCTACCGAGTGGCTCTCATCTACAAACATTACCTACAACTCTCATAACGTAGAACTTTCACCTACAAACAAACCACTGCATTGTCCCACAGGAAGGCCCAACTGAACAAGGAACAAGACTTCATGCAACCCTTAAAATCCCAACATCAAAATAGAAGCCCCCAAACAAATCTGCAAACGGTGCTTTGTCATTTCTCCATCAACACGCTGTTTCCGGGTGTATCGACTCGGCTGGAAGGAAAGCCCTGCGGAGGGTGGGGCAACTCCGCTGGCGCACCTCGATGCATTGTTTCCAATCATGTGGTTCCCATGGCGGAATCTTGATACCCAAGGCACCTGGCTTCAAGACCAGACATGACGCTCTGCTGGTCCTTGAGAATTTACAGGCCTCGACCATTTTCCTATTGAGTGGTCTTGAGTTTCCTTGTTAGTCTGCAGGGGGGTAGGTGGGACATGGGAGACGGGAGTAGAGCAGGTTCTATACCTGATTTCCAGCCTCAAAGTAATTGCAATCCGCCGAACGGTCAAGGCAAGAAAGGGCTCCCTAACCAGAAGACTGCGGGAATAGTTGGTAATCCACCAACATATTTGGACGTTCTCTTTGTTCCCCAACTGTCAGGTGAGGATTTTTTTTATGTCAGCTGCATTCCGCCTCGCCCGCCTCCGCCTCACCTCAACCGCGAGGGCCGCGCGGCAGTGTACCCGCCAGACCTCAACCGCCAACTCCGTGTGGCAGTGTCCCCCGCCAGACCTCAACCGCAAACTCTGGCTGGCAGCTTTCCCGGCCAGACCTCAACCAACACACAACCACACACACAACCACAATCGCAACCGCAAACACTATCACAAACACAGAGCCACGAACACACAGGCGCAAACACAAACGCACAATCACAAGCACTGAGCCACAAACATATATCACAAGTACAACCACAACCAGTACAGGGCTGAGGTAGTGGAACCTTATCATGGTGGAGGGGGTTTCTGGGAATGCCGGGGAATCTGACAGAAAATGCATGGAAATACAACACATGGTAAAGCCGCGTTCAGCAGCAACCACCCTCTTTTTCGGCTCACAGAGTACCTGCTGCATCTTGCTTGAAGGCATGCTATCATAGCGCGTGCCTTGCCACACTATACCCACGGGGCCCTTTGGCGCAGTGCCAGGCTGCATTGCGCCAAACCTTCCAAACAGCACGTAATCACCTCCATCCGGAATGAAGATGCCAATCCTACTGTATGTACATGGGACCAGGTATAGAGCATGTGGTAATTCCGGTTGTGATTTCGAATTGCTCAGCAAACTGCCTGAGCTTCTCACCCTGTGACCTGAAGATCAAGCCTTTCTACCTGCACGCACGTTCTATGCGCTGAGCCTTCACTATTTGGAGAGACAGGGGATCTCACCTCAAGAAGGCTTGAGTGCACAAGCTGCCCTATCTACACACGATCTTCTATCTGCAGCACGGATAGAAGATATGCGCCATTGCACGCTAAAGGCAGTTCGTTTGAACTAGCAACCTGCCCAGAAGCTGCTGAGACTGCTCCAACGCTGGAACCTCCTCAAACGCAGATCTAGGAGCCTCCTCCTCAACTTTCTCATTTACCTGAGCAGGAACCTCCTCCAGCTCCGGAACCTGCTCTGGAACTAGCACCGGAACCTTGGCTGAAGACCCCGAAAGCTTCGCTGTTAAGGAAAAAATATCCTTTGAAAAGCGTCTACAATCAGGTGATGAGGAGGGCCTGGGGTGACTTCATCTTCAACACGTTTGCAAGAACTTCGAACGTGTAATGGCGCCGATCTTCCACCTCCACACCGTGCACAGTGGAAGTTAACGGAGTTGCTTGGAAAGCACTAGCCACAAGATTTCGCTCCAAAACATGGAGCATACTAGACTAGGACTGGACAAAAAAAAGCCCAACCTGGTGACCTTGATCCACTGCTTTGCCGGAAAATTTTGCCTGCGGTGGGCCAGCAAGAGGTGCCAGGACTGCCTGACACATGGCCCAGGTAGTTTGTCTGGTGTGGTGGCAGTGGCAGCTGCATTTGCACCCGCAGACAAGAAGCGTCCAGAGGGCTGAGCGTCGTCAGGCCATGAGAGGTGCTGGAGCTGTCACACACCAAACATCCCGTGTGTCTGGGCGTATATCGCAGGAACCGTGCATCCACCAGACGCAGTGGTCAGGCTTTCAAGAACGAGACGCGTTGCCTGCGCAGCTACATCCCTGTGTCCCCTCAGCATAAGCTTTCCCCGCACAGGTTCCAAATTCACAAGAGCCCGCTAGATGCCTGCTAGGAGCTCCTCGTCACCAAGATCACGCGGTTCTCCAGAAAGCACCTCGCCAAGAGCAGCAGGCGGAATTGCCTGCAGGTCTGGGGGCAAAGAATTGCTTTTGCCATGCCCTGCTCTGGGTTTCACAATTAAGCGATGAGGAGGGCGTGGGGCGACCACTCATCTTTAAACTTGACAGGTTTGCAAGAAGTTTGAATGCTTCCTTGACACGTTCCCTGTTTCTTGAAACAAATTGACTGAATGGCGCCTTCAATCTTCCAATTGAATATCACACCCCGTCCCACCAAAGCAGGCCTCCACACCAGAAGCCAGTGGAGTCGCCTGGAAAACACTGGCCAAAATATTTCCCTGCAAAACGTGAAACACGGGCTAGGGCTAGGACTGGGCGAAGCGAAAGGTATAATTAACCTACACTCATGCCACTTTTTGACTGTCGAACAGCTAAAATTGCGCGCCTACGCCCCAGGTCTGCACCGAAACTGGCTCAAGCGCAGGAATGTCTTTCACATCCAAACACAGTTTGTTTTGCCAGTTATATACCAATGCGGGCTATAGGCCTGCTGACCATTGCAAATGCCGGCAATTGAGACCAAACTCTCTAGACGCATTGGCATCCAAAGAGGCGAGAGATTGAGAGTGAGAGTGAGTGTGAGCCTGAGTGAGAGTGAGTGCGCGCGTGAGCGTGAGCGTGAGCGTGTGTGAGTGTGACTGAGAGGGTGAGTGTGAGAGTGAGCATCTGAAAGCACAAGGTGCTTCGCCGCCACGAAGGCTGCGCTCTGACGTTCACAACTTGGATGCCCGGTAAGTACTTGGTGGATTCGGCATACTTGCTGGAGAGTTTATACACGTTCACTGAGTTACTGCGCCGGCCACGAAATCTGTACTTCCAGATTCACCAACAAATACTGTGCCTGCCACGAACTCTGCACTTCGAGGTTCACAAAGTGCTGCGTTTGCCACGAATCTTCGAGATTCACAAAGTGCTGTGCCTGCCACGAAATCTGCACTTCGAGGTTCACAAAGTGCTGTGCCTGCCACAATATCTGCTCTTCGAGAATCACAAAGTGGCACGCACGCCACGAAATCTGCACTTCAATAAGGTCCAGACAGGAGCATGTCAGATTAGACACCGCCAGCTCAAACCTGTTTTTTTGCGCGTATGGTCAGCTCCAGCCCGGGCCAGGGTTGTCGGTTGCTGTGCACACTCTGAGCCTATCAAGGCCGCTGGAGCAAAAAACTAGTGGCCCAAAAAAGGACGAATATGGAAATGGCGAAGAGACGGTGACAGAAGCTTCTCTCATTTCTGGCCACTGTGAACAGAAGTTTTTCAGCCCATGCATTTCCAATCTATTCAAGTCAAGAACCACTCTTCTACAAGGCACTTCGTTCCATTCTACACTCCGTTTGTGGCTGCCAGCGTGTTCCTTTCCCTCGGTGAGGTCATGAGAAACTGCCGTACACTTCTTCTTAGAAGTGCTTAGTCTAATTTTTTGTAATTTTTTTGTTGTTTGTGGGTTGCCGGTACATCACGAACGGTGCTCAAGCAAACACGTTGAAAAACGAGAAGACAAAATAACTCAAGGGCAGTGAAGTGTCCGTGGCCCCACAATGAAATATCTATCATGTGGGATTGCTGCCCAGTAAGAAGCTATACTCGAAGTAGACAGACACAATGTGAAAGTCTTGCCGCCAAGACTGGCTTATACCTGAGATGGAATGACACTGTCCTTTTTATCCGAGTGTAGCCAGTACTCAGCAGTTTCTGGGGTGTGACCCTGTCAACACCCCTTGGGAACGAGAACCGTCATGTTGAAGAACGAGAATGGGAAACATCTTTCTTACATCCGGCAACCGCATCACTCCCAATCAGATCATTTTTCCCGCCCAATGTAGGCGACAGGTCGAAGGTTTTTCTCCCAAAGCTGCAGCTCCAATGACTGAAGCAGCCATACCGAAGCAGCCGTGGCCGAAGCAGCCATCACTCCAGCGAATCCCAGACTTGGTCGTCATCTCTGCAGCGGGGTCCTCCTCCTCTTCTGGTTCTTCTTGGCCGCCATCTTCGCCATCATCAGGAGCGGTTGCCGCTGGCTTGGGCTTGGTCTTCGGCTTGGCCCTGGGGGGGCACCTCCCCTGCCTCTGCCCCTCCCCTTTGGTTTGGGCTGCGGCTTGGCCTTAGGGTCAGGACCGCCAGAGGCCCTGAGACGGCGTTTTCTTCAAGCCAACTGCTTCAGAGTAGGCGGCCGAGAACAAAGGAGAGTTGCATGTTCTCTTTCAACAGCTCCAGCAAGCGATTCTCCAAGCCACGCGAGCGCGCCTTGCGATGCAGCAGATTCCAACGTAGCCTGTGCGCGTGCGCAGGCATGCCCAACAGAATCTGGCATCACTCGGTGTCATGTCTACACTATTTTCGCGTAATAGCAATGCGCAATTTCTTCGTAAAATGCAAGTGGCAAAGAATGGTAGCCTTTAGCGCATGGGTTCGGGCTCGTTTGCTGCACGGTTGGACGCGCGATCGTCACCATCGTCGGTTGTTTTGCCGCCCACTGGCACCAAATGCTTTTTGCCGAGCATTTCGTTTTCTCCTGCCATTTGACGCGCCATTCTTCCGCCAACTTGGGCCACGCTACTCCAAGCAGCAGGTCGCCATTGATGCTGCCCTCAAATGCTTCCGGGCTCACACAGGCAAAGTCAATTTCTTGCTGCCGAGGACCAAGCAAGGGTGCCCGCGCTTCTGACGCGCTGCTTTCTGGAGGCAAGGCTGTCTTCAGTATAGGCAATCAGACGGCTATCCCATACCAAGTTGGGTTGTCTCCTTCATCGTCGTCCTCGTCCTGTTGTCCTTCTTCATCTTCATCCTCAGCTGCTGCTGCTCCTTTCTTGTTCCCTTCTGCTTGCGCCTTCCTTCCAAGGTGCTAGAAGCTTGTTTTTGCTTTCCTGCTTGCCTCCATCCAAAATCCAACCCGATCTCACCCGGTTGGAGGGCACCGGGCCCATCCCCTCCAGATCTGGCGTTGAAATATGATTATTTATTCGTCTGATTGG